CTTCTCCCCAAAAGCAATGGCACAAAGTCTATTCATTCAGAGGAGTATAAGCTTTAGAGGCAACATTTTTATTTTCAGAAAAATTACAGGTAATTTTTTTTTAATCCTGAATTAATTAGCCTTTTTGTGGTTTAAAAAAAAATTGGAGGGAGTGGCTTAAAAGTTTGGCGTTATCAAAGACATATGGATTTCAGATTTTGTTTCACTGTGATTCTATGGTACTGCATTCTTCATCATACTATGGTTTCAAAAAAGTTACTTCTGCCCCGTTTAGCTTACTTTTCCAGTTAATCAAAGCCTCATGGCTTCAGTGTCTGTGAGTCACACAAATGAAGATAAGGTTCCACCCTATCCACCCACCTTCACCTGGATCATCAAAAAGTAACAATTCTGAATGAGGAAAGAAGACATGAGGCAAAGAGTATCATACTTTAGATAGTGGCTTAAGAATACTATGGGCTTAAAATGTTTCCCTCTGAGTATTTTAAATACCAGTTACAGGAATGGTTACACTGTGAGAGAATAAAACTGAAAGAAGACCTTACCTGGTTCACCTGTTAGTCAGCTGAAAATCCAGGTCCATACCGGTTTCCTGAGGCTCATCTCACTGGGATGCTGCCAGACCCGGTGGAGGTAAATATACGCTGGAGACCACTGTGTGATGATTTGCAAATTTTTTGCCACCTCTCTGAAGTGTTAATTTGGGTGGCATAGGGAAATCTGCCTAGGAAGGAACGAAGGCATATAAATAATCTGAAGATGACCAGATCTGGGAGTACACAATAGTTGACCAATAAATACTGATGAATTGAATTAAACCCAAGTTTAATCCATTGCCCAGGACATTATCTTATAAAAGGATATTTTCAAATTTTTTTTTATATGGACCCGCAGATCACATTTAATCTGCTGCTCTTTTCCTACGCACGGAGGCACTGAAGCTAAAATTTTTAACTTTTGCTTGCTCTTTATTATCAAGAACTTTCTTTGTACTGATCTCAAATACTGCGGATATTTCTGCAAACTACAAATTCACGTAAAGGGTCTTTATTTCAGAGAAAACGTTATTCAGTCACAGAGGGGCCAGATAGAAGAGTTAGAGCACTTGGCCGAGATCCTGAAAACTCAGTTGCGAAGGAAAGAAAATGAAATTGAGTTATCTCTTCTTCAGCTTCGAGAACAGCAGGCCACAGATCAAAGGTATGTTAAACCAGAAATATCACTGAGGTCAAAATTAGTTTAACATACTTTATCATGTGCCATAGAAGGAAAAGCCTCGTCTCTTTAAAAGTCACATTTTGACTTAGCACTCTGCATAAAAGCCTGCTCCAGACCTACTAATCGCTATCAACAGCTCTCCTCGAAGGGCGATTTTCCTACCCTGTTCTTCCCCATCTTGTTGACTCCTCTCATTTGCCCCATTTCCCAAGACTGTAAAAGGTTCTGGCACCATTTGATTATAGCCACTGAGAGAAATATGTGTAACAAGGACTCATCTGTTGGCGTGCCTTGTGAATCAGTCCAGCCCTAAGTTTTTTCAGCTTTAAAGGTAGTAAATTCCATAACATGGTACTGGTTTTCTTATCCCCCAAATTTGTTACCTCTCCTAATACTCAGTTTGCATCAAAATCTTGATTGTTATGGATGACGGAGGGGCTTTTCTATGGTCTCCTGGCTGCCTTCTGACACGTGCAGTGTTTCCTTCCCTATCCTCCTTTGTTATTTTTTGGTTTCTGATAGCTTTCACATTGTGCATCCAACAAGACTTTATGTTTTCACTGTATTCTTGCTTGAATTATCTTCTCCCCTTTATGGCTTTTCTCTTTTTATTTCTTTTCTTTTTTCTTTATGTTGGTTCTTTCGGACCCAGCATACCCTGAAGTAGAGAGAGCAGTATCCTGAACTCCCACGTATGCATCACTCAGCTTTCACAGTTATCAGCGTGGTACCAGTCCTGTTTCATCCATCGCTTCACCTTTCCTGTCTTCAGTTAATGAGCCCCAGCCAGATAGCATGTCATCTCACCTGTAAATGCTTCAGTGTGTACCCCTGTCTGATAAGGAATTGTCTTTTAACATAACCACCCTGCCATTAGGACATCTACCAAAATTAATAGCAATTCCTTGACATTATCTCATAACATTATCTAGTCACACTTCCCTGAAAGTGTCTTTCTGCTGTTGATTTGAATTGGAATCCAAATGAGGTCTTCACATTGCATTTTGGTTGTTGTATCTCTTTTCTTTCTCTCTTCATGTGTTCCTAAACCAGACCTCGATCCTCTCCTTGTTTTTCCCCTTTCCCAGTGATGTCAGATCGTGTGGCTAGGTTCTTATTTAGAAACGCCAAGTATGATTTTCTAGTTTTTCATTTCAGGCTCAGAGTTTCATTGCCCTTTAACAAACTAACCTTCCATGGTAATATTTGAAAAAGCTAAGAAATGATGCATCATGTGACCCTTGTTTTAAAAAATAAAGTGGGCTAAAAATACATGAAAAACTATGAGAGATTTAAAAGATTAGTATTAGCTCTAATAATTCCTGTTCCTAAAAAATTCTGTGTAAAATTAAATCGTATAACGCAATTCTACATAGTTAGTGACATTTATATATGCTTCTAAGTGCTGGGCAAAAGAAACAGGAATATTTTTGAGAATTATATTAGGGGATGTAATTTGAACCCTGGCTTTGAACCAGCTTGAATACCTAGGAGTTATTCATGCTCCCCCAGGAAGAAGAACTGACTTAGACTTAACCTTGGAAAACCAAGAAATGGTTCCTCCCGAGGAACAGTGCTGGAGGACCAGACCCCAACCCTGAGAATGGTTATCTTCATAAATTGCCCGCAGCCATAGTTAAGATACTGTGTGAACATAAAATTCTGCACTTAGGCCACGCCCAAGCTTGGAGCCCAGCCCGATCAGCTTCGCTTTCTCTGTTATATCCTCGGAGAGTAGCATGGACACTGTTTGCTGTTGCCTCTTCCAAAGGGATCTGATCATGTAGGGACTAGAGCATTCGATGTTCACTGAGAGATCCAGATGCCCTTCAGTCCTAAGACTAGAAACAGGAGAAGAAACAGTCCTACACTAGAAAAACACACATTTTCTACTGGAAATGTTTTCAGCAAGAGACACCAACATACACACGTAGAAGAGTTTAACCTTAAAAACTAAACTGCTACCCTCTTCGGGGGGCTATATGATTAACTCCACAGCAGCCTATTTTTTGTCACATGAAAAATTAGAGGTAGACACAAAATAAGAATTATAGGTAAAGGCACTTTTGTTGCAGAGGCCAAAGAAATAAACCAATTTGTACCCTACCTCATTGGTTTTGTAAAATTGAAGAGTACATGTTATTTGCTTGGAAGGAAGGGTGCCTGTACTGAATGGCATATTGTTTCCTGAAATACAGTTGTTGAAAACCAAAGAAATGACTTCAAATAAAGGACTTCAAGTCTTTTTTTCTTATATGTTTACACATAGCTCAAACTTTTATGTGTAACAGCAATTTTTTTTTTGAGACTAATGGAAAACTGTTGAAAAAAATGTTGAGGAGAATATAAAACTTGGTATAATTTACTGTAGAGAAAAATCACAAAAATGGAAAACATATTTAAACTTGTCTTTCACGGATACATTATTTCAGATTTGAAATTCTAGAAGTCTGATCTGGATGTTGGACTCCTTGTTCTCAAACGTGAACTGAACAGTTGTAATCTTCAGAGTGCGGTGCTCGATATTTATGGCAAAGAGCCTTTTCATAGAATATTATAGAAACTCCTCATAGTATGTGTTTAATAGACCAGTTTGGTTTGGCATCAGCTTGACATAAACTTTTGGTTATCCAAAGCCCTTAATTGCTTTGAAGTAAAAAGCCAGTGCTGCTCTTTTTTATTAAAATCATGTTTTTTCCTGTTATTGTGGTCTATTTTGGAAGACTGAGTTGTGATTTTTGCATATGTTCTACATAATGCCTCATTAGCAAAAAATCTTGTATCATTTACAAGTAGCCTGAATGTCTGTGTTGTTTTGAACAAAAATCCATATTAAAATTTAAGCAATATAAAAATGCACATTTTCTGCTTATTAAAAAGGCCGTCTTAAATTAAATGCAAAGCAGTAACCAGTGAACACATGTACACGAACATTAAAATCAGAATGATTTTACCTTTTATTGACTTTTTCAACTCCAAAAATATTTATACTCTTACCAAATGTGTAAGTAGTTTGTACTATGTTTTTTTTAAGTACATGTCAGCGTGTTTACCTTCTTCATTAAAAATCATGTAAGTGCCATAACGTCCCAGTGGAGGAAATTTAACCCGTAAATGTTTCAGACATTCTGACTTGCCCTCTTCCCTTTGGCTGACAGCAGACGGTCAAACCCTAAGACCGGCCCTTTGCAGCATAAGAAACAGCTTGGCTTTGGGGCTCCATCTGTCCCCTCTGAGCACACACAGGATTACTTCCTGGGACTGTTAAGTTCTTCCCCAACTTTTCATTTTGAAAAATTGCAAACCTCCAGAAAAGTTGTAAGAACAGTAGTGTGAACACTCACATACCTTTCACCCCTTTGCATATCTATGAATGACACAAGCTTAGTCTGCATTCTGCACGGTGATGCTTGAGTCCCATGGCCTCCCTCCTTCTCTCCCCACCCCCCTCTCATATCTGAGAGTTAAGTGCATATATCACTCCCCCCTCTGTACACTTCTAAGTATCTTCTGGGGACAAGGACATCCTCCTACATAGCTGCAGTGTGACTGTCACATTCAGGACACTTAGCAGTGAATGACATAGTAGCATCATCCAATACACAGTCCATATTCAAATTTCCCAGTCTCCCCAATACTGTCCTTTATAGCTATTTTGTTTAAATAGCTGTTTTTTGTTTTGTTTTGCTTTGTTTTGATCTGGTATCCAATCAAGGCTCATGTGTTGTATTTAATTGTTATGTCCTTCAGGGTTCCTTTTTCCAACGTGGTCCCCAGTCTTTTCCAGCCCATTGATAGCTGTTTACAGAATGTCCCTCAATTTGCATGTGTCTGATTGCCCAGCCCCCTAATTTAGAGGGCACATCTGGCTCTCGGATGGAAGGGTAACTGGGGCTAGGGATAACCATGCAAACGCTATTATTACACAGGGAGGTGATCTGTCCTTTCTTAAAAACATACTCACCCAGCTCTTACTGTTGTTTTGAATACCTTAGAATTTGCCCAATGAAAAGTATCACTCAAATATCATTTTTGTATCCCTGTGCTTTTTACTGTTAATATTACTTAAGATTTTTCTGTGATAGCAACTTGATGTATTTTCTCAGCACTTTATACAAACTACAGAAATCGTCACAATTAATAGTACAAAACGTCTTAGCGCGTACGTACGTGAGAATGGAAGGAAAGCCAAAACCTAGGAACGTCTCGGTGGAAGGAAGCAACTTGCAAGAGCAGGACAGGAGGCATTTCGCTCTTAGAACTGGATTTGCGTGTTGGCTCCCTCGCATAAGGACGCTGGCCAGGCCCTTTCCTTCCCTCAGCCTCAGTTAGCTGCCTCAACTATGAAGGGAAGATGGAAATGGGTAAATGGTTACCTGCCTTTTAAACAACAGCCACTTTTCTCCCTAGGGACCTTGTGTTTCTGAAAGATTTTGTCTACTGAAATTTATTAATTGAATCAATTCTTTATTCTAGTCATCGAAGACTGTATCATACCACTCATTCTGATAATTGTAAAATAACCTGTGTTACTACTGACTTGGTATAATTATCAAAAAATTAAAAACAATACAAGACCTTTAGTTCACTTTTGCAACTGAATCGCCAATAAACCTAGATTTCCTGTTGGGCTTTTTGATACATTGAATATAATTCTCAGATTCCCATTACTAGTTGGAATCCATTAAACTTGATCCTCAAAATGGTCCTCTTTAGAAGATGAGTCAAGATTTGTGTTGTTCCTGTCCCCACGCAGCCCTTGGGAGCATTCCCTCCATGTTCAGAAGAGTTCAATTATGTGCAGGTAGAGAGCGCCACATAACTTTCCCCCTCCATCCCTTGTGGATGTTGAGAGGACAAACTACCGAGTTCTGATTTATATTTTGATCGAACACCACAAGAAAAATATGACCCAGAGGCAAATAAACATACACAGACAAAATTTTTCCTCTATGCAGTCTTCAATCAGGGAGCATTGTTTTGATCTATGAACTCAAGTAGCAGCTTTGAGCAAACCCGTTACTTTTCAGATGGACTTCCCTCGGCCACTTTAGCGAAGCATACTCCGTTCCATTTACTAGCAGCGCCCTGTAACCCTATTCAAAAGGGAGACCTTGCTTGTGTACCCTAATGGCTCTGAATGACCTACATTTCTTTCAACAATACACTTACAGAATGTCTGCCGCTGTTTAAAAAAAAATAAATAACTGATTTTTTTGTTTTTTAATCCTAAGGTGTTTTTCAACTCTATCCCCCAAATTTAGTCGGCCTAAAACTATTACTCTGAAACAGCCTCTCTATTCTATCTCATAAATATTTGACCTAACTACTTCCCAGAATCTCAGTCTAGCTTCTGTACCCTAAAGCCTTCACTTCTAAATGGGGTTAAATACACTATTATAACATTTTTGCCTCAAAAAATCAAGAGGCTTTTGTTTTTGGCGTGCATAATCCTTACTGCAGCAGAGAATGAAATGTCAGTGGGGTTGGGGGTGGAGGGGAGGGAGTTATGTGCCTGGGAAGTGAAGTATAAGAAACGCACAGGAGCAAAGATCTTTGCTTCTTAAGCTTTCATATTAGACTATACATTACATAGCTCCACTGAAAGTTTGTCCTTCTCCAGTGTGTCTGAGGTTTTAAGTTTCTGGATTTATTATAGCACCCAGTAGCAGAGCTGGAATCAAGTGTTTTCAAGGCTTCCATTAGAAATTCCTTTTTCTGAGTTTATTGCTTGACTGTTTCAAATTATGAGAGAAACTTGGCACGTAGGTTGTTGAGCTGCATTACTTTTTTCAACATAAAATCTAATTTATTTCAGTTTGTTTTTAATCTAGCGATGGGCCAACAACTCTTTTCATAGTTTTGGAAGATTTTAGCCTAATTCCAAAGAATATATCTATTTAGAAAAAGAAAGAGAAAACAAACTGTGTTTTTCAACTTAATCGTTCCTAGTTTTCTCAGAATCCTTCCTGAAAATTTTGAGAAATTTATTTTTACAAAGCATTTAATTGATACGCTTGCTATCCATTTGCAAATCATTTCACCATGTGTAATGCAGCATGTATGAATTGGTACATGACTGTCAGTGTTCATCTGAATGTTTTTACTCTGCATTGTTCTTTCTGTTAGAATGTCATCATCCTGAAGATGGGCTATTCCCATCCTAGGGCATGGAACGGGGCAGGAAAACATAGTGTGGAGGTGGCTTAAACTATGGCTCGTTAGATTAGCCCTGACTCCCTTCTTCAGAGGAACCCAGCCTGAGGCCTTCCTGCACCAGCAGAGCGGGCGAGGCCAGGTGGCTAACCAGTGACTCCTGCCCCCTCTTACCTCCAACGCCCTTCTCGCATTCCTTGTCCGCTTTTTGTGACCTGGCCTTCCGTCCTTTCTCTCTCACTTCCACTCTTATCCTTTCACCATGTTTCATCTGTGGAGAAATGCTGAGTTGATTATCAGGTTTGAGATGATTCTCCACTGCACACCTTTCCAAAGGCCAGACCACGGTCATCACATTGTCGATTTTAACGTTCAGGTACTTGGTATCATTGACTCAGTACTTTCAGCTCGACAGCAAGTCAGCCTCTCATAATATCCAATCATAATAATGACTATGAGGCAGAAAGCCCCCAAACCTGACACTTAAAAATAATTATTAAAGACTTGGAGGTGTTGCGTATTGTCTCAGAATAGGCGTCCTCTCTAGCGAACTAACATTTTATTTAAAGACCCACATTATTATTGTTGATTTCTAACTACATCTGTGCCCACTTGTTGGGTATTATGAGTATAAAATACTAAGACACTTTTCCTGGCAATATTGTGAAAAATTGAACTCCAAGAAGTTTAAGAAAACATCCACCAATTAACCCACTGAATATTTTTGAAAGATACTTCGATACTTACTGGCCTTTGCCACACAAAAGAAAGTTCAAAATTAAAATCTGTTATTTCTGTGACCCTGTGTGGCTGAATAGGTTATTGGGGTTTAATTCTTTGTTAATGTCATTAAGTAATAGTTATTATTTAAATATATCTGACATATATATCTTCTTAAAAATATTAACATACTTAAGAATAAGAAAAATAAAATACCAGGGACAACTGAAAATATAAGAAAATATCTGAAACTATTTGAATAGAATTCTGTCCTTCCATATCAGTAAATGTCACTCACTGTTAAGTGGTCAAACCAAGTAATTTTGGAAAAAACAGATAAATTATATTTTGACTTCTAAATATAAAAAAACAAGAATGTTTTTCTTAGACCTATTTAAAATATATTTTTTCCCATATTATAGGGGTTTTTTTGGGGTTTTTTTAGTGAGTAAAGGTAATACTAAGGGCAGTAATAGTGTGCTGTTGAATGTTTGCTCGGAACTACTAGATAACATGTTTTAGACACATAATGATTTTAACATTGTGTTAAGACTGTACCCTGGGCAAGATCCAGGTTCTTGGACTTGTTTATCTTCTGTGTGAGGACAACTAACTGTCCAATGCCAAAATACAATGAACTTTCAAATATCAAAGAGGAAAATTAAGTATTTCAAGTCCTCAGCTGGTTTACAGATGTGTGAGCTTTGTAGTCCATTTTCTGGTTCCAGTAGGGCATCGTGACAATTTTTCCAATATGTGTACACTCGATAAGTTTTGGAAGCAAAATTACTTTAAATACTGAAATAATTTTCTGAATTTAAAATTTTTATGTTTATTTTTCTTAAAAATGAAGTCTAAAACCCAGCTTCACAATTCTTAAGATACTTTTGAATGTATTAAATTAAGGACCTTTCTCTGCCTTTTGAAAACAGGTATTCATTTAGATCTATGATTAACCTTTAATAAGATCTTCCTGTTAAATTCTACATTTGCTTTAATCTCGGTAGAAAAAATACAAACTAGTATTGCAGCATATAGAGTTTCTATATACCCTGTGGACGTTAAATGATCTCTTACAGCCAAAGGCACATCTGCAACATATTTAAATGCCAGCTTTGGGCATTATTAGTATAAAACGCTAAGTCACTTTTTTTGCAAATATTTTGAAAAGTTCAAACTCCAGGAGGAAACTGCAATAAATGGTAATCTTATGATACCATTTGTTTCGAGGGAGTGGTGGGAAGATGAGTGGCTGAACTGCACATTTTTCATTTACGGAAAAGTAGTGTGATAGCCCTCCTTAAAATAAGTCTGAAGTTTGGTCCGATTTCTGTGCTAGACTGATGTCTTTTTGCACCATCTTTAAGGACACTGTAAAATGATTTAAAATCCATAAGTCATTGTATAGGCAACCCAAGTCATCAAACTTGGGGCTTCCTTCAAATTCTGAGAGTCTATGAGTTTGTGAAAGTTCAAGAATGATTGTTGGTTGGTTTTAATAATAAATCTATCCTAAGTGCATACCTTGATGACTGATCTGCAAGTGTGTAAATTTTTTCTAGGTAACATTCAATGAAAATGTGTATTTTCATCACAGATTATTTTTTTTCTTTTGCCTTGCATTTTTTACTCTGTCTTTCTCTTTTTCTTAAATATATCATTGAAGGTCAAACATTCGGGAGAATGTAGAAATGATTAAACTTCATAAGCAACTAGTGGAGAAAAGCAATGCTCTTTCTGTAATGGAAGGAAAATTTATTCAGCTTCAAGAGGTACTGTAGTAAATTATTTTATTATGGTGATACATAGATACAGCAGTTCAAAAATAATGTTCAAATTGTATTTTTTTTCTATGTAGAATGGCCATAACACTAAAAAGTAATTTTTAAAGATTACTCTTTTTATTTTCAAGTGTTTGTAATGTAACTTCGTATATTATTTGTTTTTAAAACTTAATAACTAAAAAAATAACTAACTGCTTGGACTTTTTATAAATATCCGTGTCATCTTAAAATAATAAGTACATTTATCGTAAATCATCTCATGCCAAGAAAATTCATTTTTAACTCCTTTTATCTGAATTTATATGGGTACATAGCACTGGAGGTTTAGATGTATTTACATATATCTTCAGTTCTAAGCATTTATGAACTATCCAAGATAGACCAAAGTTAGGATAGGCCAATGATCAATTTTTGTTAGGTCTTTGATGTGGTATTTTGCGTGTTTCATCACTACCATTATCAGAAAATATTTGAGTACCCATCATATCAACTCTCAGTGCATTTATTTTAAATCTTAACCATTCAGGTTGGGAATACTTGGGACCCTTTGTCCCCATGATTGTTTTAACAAGGACTGTGGCCCCACGGGAATGTGCCATCAGAGGTCTCCTATTTGGTTGGTGCTGCATAATTAACATAGGTTCTGAAATTCATTAACTCCAAACCTTCCAGGTGAGCAGAATTTGTATTAAGCAGTACAGTAGCGCCCCCTCCCCCCTTTATCTATAGTTTCGCTTTCTGTGGTCTCAGTTATCCACAGTGAACCTCAGTCCGAAAATATTAAATGGAAAATTCCAGAAATAGACAATTCCTAAGTTTTAAATTGCATGCCATTCTGAGCAGTGTGATAAGATCTTGGGCCATCCTACCTGGGACATGAATCCGCCCTTTGTCCAGTGTGTCCACGCTGTGGACCCTACCCTCCTGTTAATCACGTAGGAGGCATCTCAGTTATCAGAGAGAAAGAGAGAGAGAGAGAGAGACCATTTTCACATCACTTTTGTTACAGTATATTCTTATAATTGTTCTGTTTTATTATCAGTTACTGTTAATATTTTACTGTGCCTAACTTATAAGTTAAACTTTATTACAGGTGTATGTATAGGACAAAAACATCGTACATCTAGGGTTCAGTACTGTCTGTGGTTCCAGGCCTCCACTGGAGGTCTTGGGACATACCCCCCCCCATGGATAAGAGGGGCCTGCTGTGCTTTCTTTGAAGTACTGAGACAAGGGAAGCAATAAATCGATGCAAAGCATAGTGTCATCTGAATCCTAAATTCCCTGCTGAATTATAATAGATAAACATTGTTCAACCATATTCTGGGTAGTATTTTTCATCCTGCAGGAACCTTCTTAAATGTCAAGTAATAACTACCTTTTATAAGAGAGTTTATAAAAGAGAGGAGGCTAATTAGAGGGTAGGCATGATAGCGCTATCTACACAAAGATGAAGAGGGGGATTCCAAAATACATGTAGTAGAAAACCACTTCTAAAATGAATTAAGAAAGGAATTGAGAAGTGATTTCTTCTTTTATCACTGACTATTTTGATTTCATTTAACAGTGATGCCAGGTATTTGTTTAAATGCCAACACTAACAAGTGTCTCTGTAGCGCAGATCTAGGGTCTTGACATTGGGGAGAGATAGGAGAGGTTCATTCAGACCAACAGCTTCCATGAAGCAGGAGGCACAGAGAGAGCTGGTTAAAGGTGGTTCCTGCTATAATACCAAGACTAACAAAAACTGGACTCAGGTAGCTCAGCCGCCATGTTGTTTTTATGTGATCAAAGGAGAACTTCAGCAGAACGTAAGTGATGTTAATAAGCAGATGAAGCATTTGTGTTATGGTCATAGGGTCTCTGTGAAAAGACTTTAGTATAATCACCTTTGTTTATGAGAGAAGTATGTGGCATTGACATATAAAACGTTGAATTGAAAGCATGTTCATAAATAGATCACTTTTAAAATTAAGAAGACTTCAGTAGCTATTGTACTGAATTCAAAATTTTAACTTAATTATGTTAAAATTAGAAGCTAACTTTCCAAGGCTGTTGATATGTTGTGGTGACAAATTCTTTCAGTTTGAATATCTGGGGTCAGCATTGATTTTTGACCCATGTAGCAGTATGTTCAGACAGCAGGTCCAACCACTGTAATCACAGCAAAAAGAAAAAAAGATGAATTGCTAAAACGAATTTACTCACTTGTCACTATCAACAAGTCTAAAACGAGGCAGAAATTTAAGAAAGGACAAAAAGAGTCTGCATGGTGTGACTTAACACTGTATTTTCTTCATTGTGACACACTTGGGTTGAGAGCGTCTCCTGTGGACAAGCAGCACAAAAACTCCTGTGAGATGAAGAATAAACTGTATCACGTGAACTTCAGGAGCAAATCCATTTATAGAATTGTACTCATTCGCTCAAATCCAGATCCCAAGCTAATTCTGAAAAGATTTCCTTGTTGGTTTCTAGAAGCAGAGAACTCTGAGGATCAGCCATGATGCCTTGATGGCAAATGGAGAGGAGCTAAGCAAACAACTTAAAGAGCAGCGTTTAAAGTGCTGCAGTCTTGAGAAACAGTTACACTCCATGACATTTTCTGAAAGGAGACTCGAAGAGGTAAGCCTCCAAAGTGTTGAGCATTGGTTGCACTAAAACTTCTCCGTCGCTGACAGTTTTGAAAAAAATAAAACAGACATTTAAAATGTTACACCTATTTTAAAATCCTAAGCTATCAATACATACATGGTGCTTTAAACTC